TATAATATGCCGAAGTCACTCTAGCATGGCTGGGACAAGGAACCCCGTGCCCAGGGGTCTGCTGCGACGCCTGCTGCTCACCATGCTATAAGTAAAATRGAAAAGCTGAAAAGCCGGAGGATTCTGTAAGTCCCTCTGGCACCTCCCATCTCTTCTAAAGGGCTCACCTTTAGAAGAAGAGGAAGAGGAAGAGGAGGCGCTGCTCAGCTCCAAGCTCTAGTCTAAGGCTGCCTTGAAGACAGCCCTGTGGTCAACCGGAGGCTGCAGGAAGGACAGTGGCTGCCAGGGTCCACTCCCACCTGGCCCAGTCTTTGCCACCTGGGACTCCGCACAACATCCTCGCCCATACTGTCCCCCCACCAGTGTCCAAAGCCCAGTCCCCAYGTGCTATGTCCCCTGATTTATCACTACCCCCCCACCCATCCCCTGGAGTTCCCAAGCCTCTTTCACATCTGTGTCCCCAGCCCCTGGTTCCTCATTTGGGTGGCGGTGCCCCTTGGCAACAAGCTGGGGGCTCTCAACCCTGGTGCCCAAGTTGCTTCTGGAGGGCAACAGAAAGGATGAGAAAGGACAGTGGCACCTGCCACTTCTCTGTGTGTGTTGCACACCCAGACCAGATACCCAGGGCCACTGCCACCAGTATCTTAGGACTCTAAGTCCCAGACTAGACAAGTCATTYTATTACTTCTGCAGCATCAGAGGCAGCTGGGGGCTTTTGAAATTGTGGAAAATAGTTGACTTATAAACCTTGCCCATGGGGGGCCGGGTGCTGATGGACCCCTGGGCGGGGAAGGAGATGGAGACACTCAAAGGCAGGTCCTGCTCTCCGGGGATCTCCTGGAGGCAGGAACCTTTGCAATTTGCTCATTGTCAATTTCCAGCATTTGAACAGGGCCAGGCATGCAGTGGGCGTCCCTGGGCGGTGGACTACARGAACCATCCCTCCGGGACCGGAGGCTGAGCGCACCATATAAGGCAGGGCGGCGCTGACCGCAGAGCGGTCTGTGTGGTGACTCAGAGTCCACAGTGGAGACAGAGCGCAGGAGCCCTGGGGCAGGGCCAAGAGGGTTGTGGTCAACCCAAACCAAGCAAGGGGAAGATTTTTAAAAGCACGTGGCCACATTGCCTGGGAGCAGCGTTCTAAGCTGTGTTTTGTTTTTATTTTTTTTTCATCGTTTTCTGCTAAGCAATCATTTTTTTTTTCCCTAATGAAATAAGCCGCACCCTAAATGCATAACAGACCTGCGGCAGCGGGCACCAGCCAGGCCAGCTCCAGTGGGGACGGCGCCCTCCTCCCCTGGACTGCTGGGCTGGTCGCCTGGGAAAGGCCCCTATCTGAGAGGCCATTTAAGCCAAGTAAACCCTAAAGAGTCTGCAGAAATCTCCCCCCCCCACACACACCCCGCAGTGAAGGGGCGGCCGGGAGAGAAGGAGGGAAAGGTGCTATGGCGCTCGGAAGCGCAGGATCCTCGGGGAGAAGGGCTTTCTGGGGTAAGCCTTTGGGAAGTGAGGCACAACCTGGGGACAGGCRATGCCTGGTGTGTTCTTAAGCCAGGCTTCTTCCCTCCCCCCTTTGTTCTGCAGCGCCGGGGATCAGGAGCGCAGGCCAGGCCAGCGCTCTGCCCAGCTCCGCCCCAGCCAGGTCAGGCTTTAGATGCCAGATTCACCCCAAATCAGGAAGGCCAACCCGGGTCGCATGAAACACATGAAGAGGGACTAGTCGGAGCCCCCGTTGCTTCCCGCGCGCTCAGCGTCTGCCCCGCACTGCACTCCTTTGTCCTGGTGAGAACAGCGCCTGGACTTCGCTCCGAGAAACCTCCCGCTCTGCATTCCAGAGATTCCCCACGACACGCCCCATCGGCACCAGCCACGCCCCACTAACCTCGTCCGCCAATCAGCACATTCGCCTCCAGGTTTCAATGATTGGTCAGRGATGGTCATGTGACCACGCCAGCCAATGAGCTTCGAGTCTGGGACTGTGGTTGAACTCCCGGGAAAGGCTGCTCGCGTACTGCCTGGGGTTAGACTTGGGAGCTGCCGGCCTCGGGGTGCCCGCCTGGGGACTGAAGCCCACGCGGGGGTCCCCGCCTGGAGACTGAGGCCCACGGGAGAGAAGCAGGGGCATAGATGTGGTGTGACACATCCAATGGGAAATGGCCCTGAATTCAGCACTGATTCGACACACAGTAAACAGACCCTAAATTGCCAATTTATTATACACCAAGAAAAGACCAACCTGTCACCTGTCTTACTGACTCTGATGGGCATTGCTTTCTAGTGACACAGCACCTGCCGTCTTGCACAGCCTGTGCCTCCCCTCCCCATCTTAGGACCCATCTTTGGCTCTTTGTTTTTTGAAATATGTTATTTATTCCTAGATGATATAATAGTTGTACATATCCACAGGGGACAGTGTGGGATTCCAAGTCAGGTGTACAACCCGTAACGATCAGATCTGGCAGTTGGCTTCTTCATCAGTTCATCACCCCAGACGTTATCATTTCTTTATGTCAGAAACACTCAAAATTATGTCAACCAGCCATTTTGAAATATGCAGAATTTTTGTCACCCATAGTTACAAATTTTTGACAAAAGGACTCGCGCAATAATTCACCTATGCTGTACAAAGTACTTTGACCTTTTGCAGGCAAATTTTGATGTTGTGAAATTCTTTTTCATTAGGTATATATTTTTTTCCATTAAAAAAAAAGTTTTATTTATTTTGAGACACAGTCTCCCTAAGTTGCCCAGGATTTTCGGTCCTCCTGCCTCAGTCTCCTGAGATGTCCCTGGTCCTTGCTTACCTGAACCTGGGGGACTCTTGGACCCTGGGACAGTGCCTGGGCCAGCTGAGCTGCACTTGCCTCCATCCATCCTCCCAGCTGCTGGGCCCCTCTTGGGAGGCTGTTTGGGTGACTAGTGAGATCCCTGCGCCCTGACTGAGAGCCACTCATTCTGTCCCTCTCCTTATTGTCCCAAACATGGACCTTCGGAGGAGACAGACTCGACACCATGAATGTTCATTGGGTCCTGGAATCCAGCCACTCCTGAACTTGGGGCAGGAGGGGCCACCCCAGGGCTCTGGTTCAGTCTCAGAAGAACCAGCCATGGGGAGAGGCTGCAGGGGTGGTGGGACAGCAACGGGCTCTGACGTCAAGCAGGCCATGAGAAGTGGACCTCAGACCTTCTGCATCAACTTTAAAACAGGGAGCCCTCCACTGTCCACCCAGGAGGAGGCTGAAAGCCACAAACTGACCGCAGCGATGGCTGGTGAGGGTGTGCAGCCACAGGAAGCCTCATCCATGGCTGGTAGGAATGCAAAATGGGACAGCCACTCTGAAGACAGCGCCGCAGGCTCTTATGAAGGTAAGAGTCGTCCTGCGGTGCCGTCCAGCAGCAGTGGCTCAAATAAGCTGAAAACTTAAGTGCACACACACGAAAAGCTACAAACAAATGTTTACAGCAGCTCTGGTCAGAACTGCCAACACTGGAAGCGGCTAATGAGTCCTTCAATAAGCAAGCCCGTGAACAACTGTGGCACATGCGTTGGAATGCTGTCCACAATAAAAAGAAACAAGTTATTGGAGGGCACAGAGGTGTCTGTCTGTAATCCCAGTGACTCAGGAGGCTGAGGCAGGAGGGTTGCAAGTTTGAGGCCAGCCTCAGTTATTTAGTGAGGCCCTAAACAACTTGGCAAGACCTTGTCTGAAAATAAAAATAAAAAGGGCTGAGGATGAGACTCAGGGGTGAGAGCCCCTGGGTTCAAACGCTTGTTTCAAATTAAAAAAAAAAATATTAAAACAAACTGCCCTACACAGAAAGACACAGAGGAACCTTAAATACATATTTCTAGGTGAAAGAAGCCTGTCTCAAGGCTGTGCACTGTGACTCCAGCCATCTAGACAAGGCAAAATGACAGTGACGGACAAACTGGGTGCCGGGAAGGAACATGGAAGATTGGAAAAAAAAACAGGGAACATCCCACCTGCTGGACAGAGGAGCCCGGGTTCATCCCCCTTCTCCACGGACTGTGTGTGGCCAGAAGGTCACCAGCACAAAGACTCTCATTCCCAGCTTCCCATGCAGCAGGGGCACCAAGTGACCACATTCTGGCCACTGGATGTGACAAATGCATCAGCTTACAAGAAGGCAGCACCCCCCCCTCTGCTGACATCCTCTCTCTGATGACCGGGTTGGGGACACCACGGCGGGTCACGTGGACAATAATGGTGGAGCTGCAGACGGAAGGAACCTGGGCCCCTGTGGCTTCCGTGAAAGAATCGCTTTACTTGGGATTTTACTTAGAGAATTCCCCTCTCTGTGGCTTAAGAAACTGATATTTGGGTTTTTGTTACGGATGAGCAATCTCTGATGGCCAGGGACCTCCAGGATGCTCCCAGGGCTCTGCACGGCACAGKTAAACATCTCAGTCAGTCCGTCAAGCCTTAGCGGGCCGGCTTCCTGTGCTGGGGTTCAACCAGGAACAAGGCAGAGGCGGAGTCCACATCCCAGCTGGGGGCAGGCCATCCACGGGACCATGATTCTTCACCTGCTGAGCCCTTTTTATCAATTATCTTTTTTAAATATTTATTTTCTAGTTGTACTTGAACACAATCTCTTTTATTTATTTATGTTTGGTAGTGCTGAGGTCCGGACCCAGGGCCTCCTGCTTGGGAGGCGAGCTCTGTATGGCAGAGCCCCAACCCCAGCCCTTTACCCATTATCCTAAACACAAACCCAGGAGGTGAGGCGGTTCCTTCCTAATTTGACTAATGGGTTAGAAGAGACACAGAGAGGTTGAGGCACAGGTCCCGGGCCACATTGGTGCTTCCCAAATTTGAGCCTAGGTCTATTAGAGCTCAGAGCCTTAACACTGGGGCCTCCTGCCAACAGGGACTGAAATGGGGCTGTGTCGGAGAATGGAGGTGTCCGCTGGTGGTCACACTTAGCGGCAATAAAAGTAGCATAAAACCCCTCGCTGACAAGCCCGAGTCCCTTACCTGGTAGATGGCACTGGGAAGTCTTCTAAGGGTCGTGCCCGTGTTTCTAGAATCTTCTTCAAGAGCGGCTCTGCTGGTGGGCTCAGAGCGTGGGTACCAGCAGGCTCGAGGTGCGCCTGTGGGGAGAAGAGGAGCAGCCATGACTGCCTGGTGGGGTGCTTCACGGGGTTTGGCTCTGCCCAGGGCCCTTCTTCTGTTTGGAGGCTCCCAGGCCCTGGAGGAGGCTGAGGGAGGAGGCGGAGACCGCAGCAGCCTGGGGTCTGCAGTGGGACAGGGGTCCCACCGCGTGGGTCCCGGCTGAAGAAACAACCCTAAGACACAGAGACAGACATGAGCCCGTGTGTGCAGGTCCCAGGTGAAAACACAAGTGTCCCGGTCACTGCATGGAGCAGAGTGCCCCGCAGAGGTGGAGGCTCAGCAAATGCTTCATGATTTGCTTCCATGTAAGACAGCACTCACCATGTCTGCGCAAGTGGAAGGAAATGGGCAGACCCTGAGCCCAGGGGAGAGAAGTTCCTTCCTCTTGTCAACCTGCATTCTTGGAATGCTCCGGCCAGCCCAACCTGTGCCTCTTTGTACCAATGAGACCGATGCCCAGAGAGGGGCAGTGACTAGCCCAAAGTCACACAGCAAATTGATTGCCTAGCAAGGCCTGAAGCCTGTTCTCTCTTCATGCGTGGCAGGTGCTCTCTCCAGGGCAGTGCCCTCCTTCACCATTTCAAGACTCGTAACCCCTAGAGCAGTCCCAGGCTCAGCAGGAGCCTGCTGCGTGCCAACAGGTGGCTCTCTACCGTGTAGGGCCACAGCAGGGAACGGCTTCCTGGCTGAGTTCAAGTGCAGACCAGGTGCTGGAGGCAGTGTGCACAGTGGTCAGCAGYGTGGGCTGCAGAGGCAGGTGGCCCTTGGTCACATGCTGGGGCCACCCCTTTCCAGAAGTGGGGTCTTGGGCGCCTGGGGTCTCAGGGCTYTGCTGTCTTCATTTTAAGCAGCTAATAATAGCCGCTGTCCCCAGAGACTGCGGGCGTTAAAATGACCTCAGTAAGTCTGGGAAACCCACAGGTGAGCACTTGGCATACAGAGGTCGCTCAATAAATGTCAGGGAGGTGCGGAGATGAGGGCGGTGTGCGCAGGAGGCGAGGAGGGGCTGGCGGGAGGGGCAGTGTGTCCCTGGCACAGTGGGTCTCAGACACAGGGCACCTAGGAGACCTCCCAGCAGGGTGCTACCCTCCTTTGACCAGCCAGCCAAACGCAGGGCCATCAGCCTCTGCAAGCTGGTGAGCTGGGGTCACGGCGGGCGGCAGCGGGTGCCTGAGGACTGGGGCGGGGCCCACTCCCCAGGGGGGGTGTTCTGGMATTTTCCAAAGAAAGGAAGGGACAGACGCAGGAAAGAGGCGGCTATGAGATGGCTTCAGCAGCAGGAAGGGCCATTCTGGCCAGGTCACCCTGTCAGCTGTCCCTGCCACAGCGCCTGGCCCCATCCTGTGTCTCTGAGTCTCTCTGGGCTTCCCCAGCATCTCCCCTTCTCAGACCTGAGGAATGAGGCTCTCCCGGGGACCCCCAGCCCAGGCCCCTAAGAGGCTGAGAAGCAGGTGGTCCCCAGATGAACAGAATGGGGGGTCTTTGCCTCGGGGGGCTGCACCTGTGGGCCCCACCCCTGCAGACAGGAGTCCTACAGTCCCGATCCAGCCCACCTGCCACCGCCCTCGGGCGCCCTGGCCTGCCCTGGGCCCCAGAGTCGTTGTCTGTCAACTTGGTGTTGGGAGCCCACCGCGACCCCCTGCAGCCTCGGGGTCGTCGGAGGCTCCACAGGGCACAGGGAAGGGCTCTCCTGCCAGACCCCCRTGACACCACAGAGCCCAGGAGGTGCTGTGTCACATGCTGGCTTCCTGGGGGAGGTGGCGTGAGCATGGAGGGCRCGGGGTGCTGTGGCAGAGACCAGGAAGGAGGACAGGGAGGGTGTTCAGGACCCTGCGGGGTGCCTGGGAGGAGGCTGGGGACACGTTTTTTATCCCGACAGCACCAAATTCTTGCTGACGGGAGGGGAAAGTGGGGCTCAGCGAGATCAGCTCTGYGGACGCACAGCTGTGAGAGAGACGGGTTTGAGCCCACGTGGCATTTCAGAACAGAAGCTCTCTTTGGTCACTGTGGAATGTGACCATGGAGATTGTTTAAAATGGAATGTGAATCCRGGCGCCGTGGCCCACGCCTGTGGTCCCAGCAGCTCAGGAGGCTGAGGCAGGAGGATCTCGAGTTCAAAGCCAGCCTCAGCTAAAAAGCAAGGCGCTGAGCCACTCAGTGGGACCCTGTCTCCAAATAAAAAATGAAAAGGCTGGGAGGTGGCTCAGGGGTCAGCTCTCCTGGTGACACCCTCCCCCAATGTGAATCAGAGGAACTGAGGTCTGTGTCACAAATGTAGCCCTCAAGGGCAGGTGCCACCGTCTGTGCTGGGGGCTCTCGGGGTGTGAACACKCGCAGTCGTGAACCTAGATGTGTGTCGTCATCAAATGAAGCACCTTTCCCCGGCCTGGGCCCCAAATGCCAAAGCCCTGGCCACCCTGCGGCCCAGGACGTTCAGTGCTGAGGCTGTGGGCTGGGTTGTCCTGCCACACATCGCCTGTCCCTGGGCCCCACCGCTGACAGGAGAGTGACTCAGCCTGCATGTCCCCCCCCCATGCTCTCCGCCGTCCCTCGGCTGCCTGTCCACCTGGGGACAGATCCTGAGGATAACACTGGCCAGCCTGCGTCCCCACCCTGGGATGGCCGTCCACCTCTCCATGCCTCGGGAAGCCTCCGAGCTGCTGGGAAACCCCAGGGGGAGTGCCAGGGTGCGCCAGCCCACCCAGCGGTTGTTCCCGGGGCCCAGGGTGATCCCAGGGAGCCGTGAGGGAGCCTCRGTCCCTCCTGCCCCTCCCCAGCCTCAGTGTCCCCACCGATGAACTGACAACCTCCTGGCTCCCAGATGGAGCAGTGCTCCGCCCTGGGGTGTCTGGCTTTCCAGGTCACTGTCTGCGATTCCGTCAGAGCTGCATCTAATTTGCCGGGAGCCAGAAGGCCATCAAGCAGCGGAGAGCTGAGGAGGCCCAGGGCTGTTGAATCTCCACAGGAGTGGGCAGGACACAGGGGTTTGACATTGGAGTCACCCACCAGCAAGGGATGGGAACCCCTAGGAAGAGAGAGGGAGGGGTGCCCAGAGGGAGGGACAGAGCTGCCCAATGAGAACGTGGGCACAGTCCCCAAGCTCACATTGGGCTCATCCAAAAGTCACGGAGTCCGTGAATATTCCTCCTTAGGAAGCATTAATGGAGCACCTGAGGGAAGGGGTGGGCAGGGCCTGGAGGGGGCACGAAGACGGGGGTGTGCCTCCCAGATCTGCCATGGCCACCGACTGAGAGGCCTTGGCCAGGCCTCCCATTTCCCTGAGCCTCAGTTTCCTCCCCRATAAAGTGAAAAAAACACAGCCGTCTCCCAGGGCTGGGGTCCGACCCCATCAGACACGGGAAGCACTTGAACTCAATGAGCTTGTTTTTTTTTTTTTTGGTAATTGGCTGTGGCTTCTATTAACTAAGATGCCCTTTCCCTCTTGCAAAAGAGGACAGTGACGCTCAAGGTCAGATCCCTGGCGAGGATGGGCCAGGCCGGGCCTCAAATCACAGGAGGAGCAGTTATGAGCACATAAACCCGGGATGACTCAGAGAAGAGCCTTGATTTTAAAATATTGTTAAAGGAAAAGGCTGTTTTATGATTTTTGCACGGCACGCTTATTAAACCCCAGCTATAAATGTGAACTAATAAGTAAAATGAGTTAAGTTAATGAAAAAAAAAAAAAAACCAACCTTGAGGATGGATCCATGGTCCCTAATAGCAGCCCATAAACATAAACATAAAATTTAAAATAAAGAATGAATCGTCGTCCTGCCCAGCAGCTCGGGAACCCTCCRTTTCTCTGCCTGGAAAATAAAATCTATTGATTTTACAGGCTTCTCATGGCTCACGAGTGGGTCTTGGGGAAGTCGTAAAGGAAGGAATTATTTCCGATTGTTTACTCACAGAGGATCCTATGTGTTGAATTTAAACCGTCTCCTGTTCCTAATTAGCACCAACCAAATTAGAATCCGAGCGCCGCAGAGCCGCGGAGGCCCGAGGAGGCTCAAGCAGAGTGACTTGCCTAAGACCACACAGCCCKGGAGGAGCCAGGCTAAGACCAGGACTCTGCATCAAGGACAGGGTCCTGCTCTGGTCACCGAGACCCCAGGGCCGGGTCGTTGAATCCAGTGGATGTGCTGGGGGGCACCCAGGTGGCTTCTGCTCCCAGCTGCTGGGGAAGAGTAACCTCCCCAGGAAGGGAGCTTCCGAGCCAGACACAGCCGAGGGTGTAGCGGGGAGACTGCAGGCTTCGGGTTGCAGGAAGCAGAGGGCGACTGGGCCAGCAGACAGGGGACACCCTGGGGCCCAGGTCTCCTCTGACAGGGGTGCACACCTGCCCAGGTCTGGGTCAGGTGAGGCTGTACTGTCGGGGTGGGGGTGACGTGAACTCAGCCAGCCCCCCACCCCCACAGGCCCAGGGACCTTCACGTGGGGYGTGTGCACACGTGTGTGTTGATGTTAAGCTTCAGGCTGCACGTGATCATGAAGCAGATGTTTAATTACCATCCGAGTGACATTAATCAACGCGGTTAATACACAGCCCGCACCCCATCATTACTTTGCAATTACACCGAAGCGCAATCCTGGATCGCCAAGGACGTGCCATCCCCCAGCCCGCCAGAGGGCAGGTAGAGCGCCAGGCTGCCTCCCTCTCCTCCCRCAGGGTCTGGGCTCCCAGGGACCCAGGCAGGACCAAGGCGCATCCTGYGGACGGGGGAGCCCAGGCTCAGTCCTGGGTGGGCAGCAGAAGCAGGGCTCCAGGTGGGCTCTGAAGAGCGGCCACCACCACTAGGACTCGGCTTCCCCTCAGGGCTGGCCAGTGCCCGGCCGCTCCTGCTGGCCTGCGCTCACCCCGGCCTCTGTGAAGAGGCCACTGAGGAGAGAAGCGTCCTTCCTCCCCTCATGTCCCCACACACAGGCCTGCACGCGCACACACACACACACACACACACTCAGGCACACGCACAGCCCA